AAAACATCTTTTTTTAATTTTTTATTTATTTTTTTAAATTTATTTATTTATTTTTTTATTAGTGAAACACCATGAGGTACAGTTACAGACTTACAAATTTTTGTGCTTGGGTTTCAGTTATACAATGATCAAACACCCATCCCTCCACCAGTGCCCATATTCCACCACCACGGGCCCCATTTTCCCTCCCCCGCCCCCCATCCTACCCTACCTCTGTGGCATGGCATTCCCTTTTGTTCTCTCTCTCTTATTGGGTGTTGTGGTTTGCAAAAGAGGCAATGGGTGACAATCATGTTTGGTCTATAGTCTACTTTCAGCATGCTTCTCCCATCCTGGGAGGATCCTCCCAACACCTTTTATTTGGTGTTCCCTTCTCTATCTGAACTCCCTTTTCCCCTAGCACGTGTGTCTCGCCTCCAAGTCATGGAGCAGAATTCCTGGTACTATTCTCGGCCATTCTTGGGTGTTAATCTCCTATTTTGTTACTTTATGTTCCCCAGATGAATGCAGTCTTTCTATGTCTATCCCTTTCTTTCTGAGTCATTTCGCTTAACATGATACTTTCCATGTAGTACCACTTGTATGTAAATTTCATGACTTCATCTTTTCTAACAGCTACATAGTACTCCATTGTGTAAATGTACCAAAGTTTTTTTAACCAGTCATCTGTTCTCGGGCGCTCAGTTTTTTTCCAGATTCTGGCTATTGTAAAGAGTGCTGCAATGAACAAACAAGTGCAGATGTCACTTCAACTATACTTTTTTTGCCTCTCTGGGATATGTTCCCAGGAGTGGTATTGCTGGGTCAAATGAGAGCTCAATTTCTAATTTGGGTAAAATGGGAGCTCAATTTCTAATTTTTTGAGAATCGTCCATACTAAAACATCTATTTTTTAAATCTAACTTTACATTCAGTTACATGACCTCAAGTGGGACGGACTGCCAGCACAGTTTAAGGAGCTAGGCCACCCTAATGTTTGACTTGGATTACTTGTTCTTTCTTCCCTAATTGATCTTCCTACTTCAGTTGGTTCTCTCTCTCTCTCTCCCTCTCTCTCTCTCTCTCTCTCTGTCTCTTTCCCACTCCCTCTCTCTCCCTCCATCTCCCCAAACATTGCCAACCCTGCCAAAGACGACAGTGAAGCAAAGCATTTTTATCAAGAAGAGAGGAAAAAATAAATGCTCATAAAGAAATTATGCATCCTGAATTGTGTATTCCCTCTTATCATTTTCTTCATAGCAGTTTTCTTTTGAAGTTGCTGATGTGTGTGTGTGTGTGTGTGTGTGTGTGTTTGCTTGCTGGGGATCAAGTTGACCTTTTTGCCATTTAGACGTTTAAATCTGATCATGTCACTCTTTTGTAATGACTGCCTCCCACACACTGGCCTTAGAATAAAATCTATGCTTACTTTTACAAAGGCCTTAGAATAAAACCTAAACTTATTTTCATAAAGGTGCTTCCAAGGACTGACCCTTTGCCCTGCTCCTCCTCCTTCTTGTACAATATTGCCCTTGTTCATTGTGCTCCGGCCACACCGGCCCATTTGCTCGCTCTCAAACATCCCACTTCGTTCTTGAATCTGCTTTTTACCTTAGCAGCTTTCTGCCTGTCCTCTGCACAGCTGCTTCCTGTCAGCGCTCCAGGAGACTTGGCTGACAGGGCAGGGTAGCCTTATGCAACTCCCCCCGTCCCGGCCCTGAGGTCATGTCTCTGGTTACCTGGACTCATTACTCTCCACATTTGCTTGAAAACTGAATGCAGACACCACTTCATCACCAGTAGGAGATGGTGGTATAATCTCAGGAGGTTTCATGTCAATTATTGTGAGTGACTGAATTCTCAGATCAAAATATTAATAATTTATTATGTTTAATAAAAGGATAAAGTTGTGCATCCCCTCTCCCCCACCACACACACACATAGCAGGAACACTAGATACAGAGTGTGTCTTTTTTTGGAGTGTTTCCTCTAGAGCCTACTTTTCCACAGGGCCCTGGAACAATCCAAGGTGGTGGTCGCCGCAAATGCAACTGGGGAGACACGTCATGTTTGTTCATTTAAAGAGGAGGGCAGATTTCCAGGGAGCACCGGATTTTTTTCTCTGGAAAGGGACCAGTGGGTCAAGATGCATCTGGGAACTGTTGGAAAGGGCTAGTTCATGGTAACCTGGTAAAGCGCAGGAGTGCTGGAACCGCGACTGCCTTCAGGTACTTACTGGGTCACAGCAGTGAGGGGGTAAATAGCAAAGCCTGCCCGGCTCCTGAGTGACTGTCTCCTTGCTGTGTCCCTTGGCCGTGGTGGTGATGGCCATTGTACGCCTCTGTTGTGCTCGCAAGTTAGCTCGCACTCTGGCGAGCTCAGAGGTCACACCTCGGCTGTACTACTCACCTTCGGCACAGGTTACGTGTGTGTTTGCGTGTACTTGCACCTGGACTGCAGTCACACGCTTGTGCTCACCAGGTTTGTCCCCTTTAGTTGTAGTCACACATACCTGGCTGGTGTAGCTGGGGATTGATGTGGGTCGGAATCACACGGCTGAACAGGCGAACTGAGCCACGCTGCCACAGTCACAGTTGTGCAGGTGGCGGCATTGGGTCCGTGTGTATGTGTGTGAACTCACGAACTTAGAGTGTGCAGGGCCAGTGCTCTAGAAACTCTGAACTATTTCCCCGGGTCCCAGGTTCCTGAGTTCTTCGGTAGCCGATATTCAGAGACCAGGTAGTAAGATAACATATAACATGAAACCAAACACCTTTACCCAGATGTTTTCAGGGAGAGTCCGGGCGCGACTCTTGAAGACTATCCATGGGAGACATTAGGGTCATGTGGCAGGACAGGCCCCACGGAGAGCAGGGCACAACTTTAGAGAGCCACGGAAGGGTTTGAGCTGGAGTGCTGCAGAAGATAAGCTGGAGGGATCGGAGACTGGAGGCAGGCAGGGAAATTTAGGGGCTGAAATGTCACTAGGTTAGCAATGAGAAAAATAATAAGTGCCAGGGAGATGAACAAATCATTTTTCAAATCAGATTCAGGGGGAATGGGAAAATTATTTCTCCTAATTTGTAAAACGAGCTGGAGGTGTCATTTACTAGTTGGAGGGAACTGGGAAGGAGCCCTCCTAGGCTAGTCACACCCAGAGGGTGTATGCACGCTTGGAAGTTGTTCCCTGTGGTACCAGGGATCAGAGCAAGGCCTCCTGCACGCATGGCCTGTTGAGCACTCTCCAGCCCAGCAGGAGCACGTTAAGAGGAAGGGATCTCTTGGCATGGAGTTTGAGATGAAACGTGGTCACAAGAATATGATTTATGAGATAGATGCGTCTTCACGGGGAGGCAAGATCCACTCTTTGGGTGTGTTTAAGACGGTGGGAAAAATCTGCAGTGGGGGGACATGACAGTGGGAACAAACATGCCTTAAAAGGATCTTAGTGAAAGATAGCCAGCACCTGTGGCTTTTCAAAGACAAAGAGGTATCACAGGCCTTAGAGGTCACCATCTGTTTTTCAGGTTGTGGGGCTCCATCTGACAGTGCTTGGGGTTATTTCTGGTTCTGTTCTTGGTTCCTCCTGTTGTCCTTGGAGGACCTTGCAGGGCCACTGAACCAGAGTCAGCCACATGCAAGGCAAGCACCCCATGCCGTCTCTTCAGACTATTTTAATTAAGGAAAGTTAATTATCCTCCCATAACTTTTTTTTTTTAACTATGAGCTTTACTTCCAACTGTGATTGCTTTGGAAATATTTAATCTTAATCAAAGGGGATTGGAGACAAATGAATGGCTGTGTGGTTGGGTCAATACAAATTAATCCCTACCTCTGGGTAATTAATCGGTAGGCCAGTTGATAGAGTAGGTGGTGTACTGTCATGTAAATTGACGACTACATTATAAACCATACACTGTCCACGGAGAATATCAGTATGTTAGATGAGGAAAGTTGCTTCTGTCTACACAAATTGTCAAACCCGTGTTTGATAGTTTGTAAAAATCATTCAGTGAAAATAGTTAAAAAAGTCAGCATACTTTTATTAAGATAATGTCAGTAGTACAGATATTTATAGGTGCAGGGAGATGTGCCGTGTGGAGCACAGATCTTGGTACAACCTCATTTCGGTACCTTATTGGATCAAGCTATGGGGATGCACTCAAAAGATGCTGATTTAAAAAAATGTCAATGCAAATAATACATTATAGTGAAACGTGGTTGGAGAGATCAGGGATAAGGCATGCCCCCAAGCACCACCACTGGGATCCCCTGAGCACTGTCACGGGGATGAACCACTTGTCCCAGCTGGCTGAGTATTGCCGAGCATGGCTCTCAGGCCCCTGCAATGGTTGCGAACCACCTCCCTCCAAAAACAGTGTCACGAAACATGGAACTAAACAGATGTTACTTGTGTATACATGACTCTAAACATATAATCTGTAAAACTTAGCATGGAGTTAAAATATAAGCAGAAAGTCATTGAAAGTGGCATCTGAGTAGGGAGAGTTAGCTGAAATTCTTTTTGGTGGTTGTTTTGTTTTGGGATCACACCAGGCAGAGCTCGAGGATGTTTTGTTTTGTTTTGGGATCACACCAGGCAGAGTTCGAGGATCACTCCTGGCAGGAGAGTTCAGTGGAGCACCTGTGCTGGGCCTCATAGCCCAGTGGCCATATGTAAACAGATGCCCTCCCCCTGAACCTTCGCTGCAACCCCAACGGTCCTCATTATGATGGTTGAGATGATCTCGGTGTAAGCCTGTTCTGGGTGCTTTTTTATAAATTTCAGTTGTCTGTGTAGGTTATAACAAGAAATAAGCTTGTCAGCACTAAAGATTCTATCCACCCATCTGGTTCAGAATAAGTTTGTTCCCTAAGCCTAATCACAGAGGATAAACATGTTTCCCGCTAAGATAACGGATAGGTTTGTAGCGCCGGTGTTATAATCCATATGAATGCTTAGTGCAAATTGTTCTTGACGTGCATTTGGATGCCTGAATAATTTTTCTTTGATTCTTCAGGTTCTCCCGAAAAGAGCGTTGAGTCCGTGAATCCAGATACCACTGCAAACCCTATCAAGAACAGAAAAGCAAGTCCAGTCCCTAAAGATCCCCGGGCGGGAAAGAAAGCGGCAGAAAACTCATCGGTCCAGGGCCAGGTGCCCAAGAGGAGCGAGGAATCCGAGAGCGACTTCGAGTCCGATCCCCCTTCTCCCAAGAGCAGTGAAGAGGAGGAGCAAGAGGATGAGGAAGTTCTCCAGGGGGAACACGGAGACTTCAACGATGACGACACGGAGCCCGAGAACCTGGGCCATCGGCCCCTCCTCATGGATTCCGAGGACGAGGAGGAGGAGGAGAAGCAGAGCTCGGACTCGGATTACGAACAGGCCAAAGCCAAGTACGGGGAGCGGGGTCCCGCATACGGCGGCGGGCCGACCCCGGCCCTACTCGCCCCGACCCACGCGTCCCCCGAGCCCCCGCGGCAGGAGTGCGACGTCTTCGGCGCCGTCCCCTTCCTCGCGGTGCAGGGCCCGCAGTCCCCGCCGGGAGAGCCCGACCGGACCCCGGGCCGCCAGCCCCGGCCGGAGCAGGAGGAGTTCGATGTCTTCAGCCAGGCGCCCTTCAGCAAGAAGGTGACCGTGGCCGCCGGCCCCCCGGGCGTGGACGTCTTCGGCTGCACCCCGTTCCAGCCCGTGCCCGCGCCCGCGGGGGCCCGCGAGGACCTGTTCGGGCTGGTGCCCTTCGAGGAGATCGCGGGCGGCGCCCCGCAGCAGCAGCAGCAGCAGCACCGGGCCCGGCAGCGCGGCCTGCAGAAGCTGTCCTCCCGCCAGCGGCGCGCCAAGCCCGACGCGGCCAAGGGCAACGGGAAGCGCCACCACGGCACCCCGACGGGCGCCAAGAAGGCGGCCAAGCCCACCTACCGCACCCCCGAGCGCGCCCGCCGGCACAAGAAGGTGGGCCGCCGGGACTCGCAGAGCAGCAACGAGTTCCTGACCATCTCCGACTCCAAGGAGAACATCAGCGTGGCGCTGCCCGACGGCAAGGAGCGGGCCGGGGGCCTGCCGCCGCCCGAGGAGGGCCTGCTGGACGCCTTCGGGGCCAAGCCCTTCCCCGCCCCGGACCTGCCCTGGCACCCGCCGCACGCGAGCCTCGGCGACCTCCGCGCCGAGCACGCGCCGGGCCTGCCCGGGCGGCCGCGGCCCCACGCGCTGCTCGGGCCCTTCCACGGCCCGGCCGACGCGCTGAAGACGGACGATTTCGGGGCGGTGCCCTTCACGGAACTCGTGGTGCAGAGCATCGCTTCCCACCAGTCGCCGCCGTCCCAGGCCGTGGAATTGGACCCCTTTGGTGCTGCTCCATTTCCTTCCAAACAGTAGCTTCTCCCGAGGGACCTCTTGGCATTTTGAACCTCCTGTTCCCAAAAAACAAAAAAAAAAAAACATATGGTCAGTTTTTTTGCAATCTGAAGGCGTTCATAGCAGGTCGGTCAGAATAGGTGATTTCCACAATAAACCAAATAGAAATACCTTCACAGTGGAGTAGTGACTCGATGCCTCCGCCAAGCAGGAGAGAACAGGGAGCCGAACCCCGCCAGCCGCGAGTTTCAGCTACTGAAACAGACAACCCAGGGAAAAGGGGGCACTTTTCCAGCTGTGCCACTATTCGAGGGAATTAGGTAGAATAAGAGTGTCACTTGCATGTGTGTGATTCCAGGTCCATTCCAGAACCCAGCAATTGAAAATTAAGCCTACTTTGTACATACACAGGTTACATTTGTGAATATTTTAAACTTCTCCTAATTTCACACAGTGAAAGAAAAAATAAAATCTAGTACTCATAAAGAATTACGCTATTATCTGGACAGTGCAGAGATTTTAGTCCTTTAATCTCTACAAAGCACAGCCAGAAGTAACTGACTATTGTGCCTAAAACTCTTGCTTCATTTGAAAACAAGTGCCATTAAATAGCGAAGACCTACTGTAGAAGTCTAGGACAGAAACTGAAGGGAAATAATTTGACCTTTGAGAAAGAAATGATAGATTTCACAAACACTTTATATGAATGGCTACTTGGCCCAGAATATTGTTCCTAAGAAAAGCAAATTTATTGGAAAAACTGGGAGTTGAGGACAAGGATTATATAGAAATTTTACTTCATGTAGCTGATACCCTGAGTTTTTAAGATGTTTACAATGTAAAATCATGTTGCATTTAATAATGTACTTTATTAAATGACCACCTTCACCAAATGTCCCTGAAGTTGTGACCAGCACTTTGGCAGGTATGTTTGGAGGTGGAGTAGTTCTAACAAAGTGCACAGAACAGTGGAACCCACAACGCCTTAAGGCAGGACCTGGACACCTGCTGCGAGCAAGTACCTCTGCACTGATACACGAGATCGGAAAATGCTCCAGGGTCTTAGATGAGGAGGGACAAGCACCCAGCTCTGCTAGCTGACTACGTCATTAGTACAAAGAACCCAGCTACCAAATTGCCTTTTTCTTTTTAACACCGCCAATCCCAAACGGCCTTTTCTAAACACCACACATTGTGATTAAGATCTACAAATTGTTCAGTAAGATGAAAATTGCATATATGAACTAATGTGAATAGAGTTTCTGTGTTTCCTGTGTCAGCAACTATTTTTAGTTACCATGAACTGCCCTTCCCTATACACTGATTTCTAAAACTCTTAACAGCTTTTTACAACGGGGATGGAAGCTTTTTGTCAACCATAGTGCTGACTCTGACTGCTCTATTTTAAACTAACTCCTTGAACAACTATTTTATAAATGATCTTATTAAAACAAAATATTAATCATACCTGTTTTCAGTTTCGAACTTGGAGGAAAGCAAAGTATATGTAAACTATATATTCATTAGTAAGACACAAAAGTTTGTGCAGATCCTGAGGCAAACCTCGCATTACATCACTGCTTTACAGTTGTACTTTTAGATCCCAACTATATCGACTATTCCCTGTGCCAAAGGCAAATATTTTGTTTGCACCTTTTTTTTCTTCTCAGGTTGAGTAATACTGCTAATGCAAAATGTTAGTAGTTTAAAAAAAAATACAGTATAGATTTGAATGATACTTTATTCTAAAAGTGAAGAGTTGATGATTGCACGTAATAACTTCATGAAATACTACATAGGTTTGTATTAAACAAGATTTTTTTTTTAATGTTGATGTGCACACAGTGTGCTTTTTTTTTTGACTATTCTAGTCCTTGGCCTTGGCCTCTGCTAGCCCTCATGTATTCCATAATTTAGAGAGGCAGTGAAGAATGAGGATGATCTCCTCAGCTAAACATGTAATGCTTAGAGTGTATCTGATCTAAGGCCGTTATCCTTGCTTTTCAGTACACTGTATGTATAATTTTAAATGACCATGACACTTTGGCTCATGATGGAAAAATAAGGAAACAACTGAAATTGCCTAAAATACTTATATTCTCATGTTTATTGTATGTCACAGCCCAGTGATGTTCCTCTTTTGCAATTGTAGCTTCAAACAGGATTCAGGAGGAGATGCGTTGGGATTGAAATAGGGAGGCGCTGTTGTGTGAAAGGGAGGCTTTTTCCTGAGGAGTACAGAAATAGGGGTGCTTGCCACTTCTGGTCATCGCCTGCCACTACTCTGAGGCTCCGGTGACTCACAGATCTGCTGCAGAGATCATTCCCTGACAGGAATTCAGAGGAACACTCCCAAGATATGTGAAAGAGCTTAACACATTCTTGGCACACAACACTCAGTAAAACTTTGCCTCTTTTGGAATGGATGGTCCAATTCTTGTTTAGGAAGTAATCAGGTGATGCCGAACATCTTCAGCATGTAAAGTCATTATAACTCTAAACCTGTTATACTTGAACATCACTAAGGGAAGTAAAATACTATGAAGCTAGCAAAACAATAGAAGGCCAAAGTTACTTTTATGCTAACAGCTTTAATAGTGCTTACTGATTTTGAATAATCTTTTAAAATGTGGAGTATGTGTTTAATTATTTTAATATTTCAGCAAAATACTAAAAAAGATGAGCTTTCAGGGCATTAAAGATCGTATCTGCTAAGACACAAAAGTTACTTGGGATATTAAGAAAAGGTTGTTGGCTGGATGAAAATGTAACTGATTTTATTCAGAAAATTTCAACCAGGAAAGTGTGTCCTTTTCCACTGACCTGCCCCATCTCTGTAATTTTGGGTCTAGCTGTGGCATTATTTGGAACTGTAGTAGACACACCTTTCGATCTAACCCTGTCACCGTTTCACCGTGACTGTCGTCCTCATCCTGCTGGTGGACAACGCTAAGGAGGAACCCACGCTTCTCCTTGATGTTCCCCAGGCAGTGATTGATTATTCAGTGCCTCTGCTTGGGTTTCGGTACTTCCAATGAGCACTGTTTAAAGGTACATGTGTATTAGTAACACTAGTTCTGAGGAGTTTGGCTACCTTTGTTTTAATATTTCTAGAATGTGCCAGTGAATTTTTTGTAACCGTTTTAGTAAAATGACTCATTTTAGGTTCAATATCAAGCTGACAGATCTACTGTGAGAATGAGATGACATACCTACTGTGAGAATAACAAATGATTGTTTATATGGAAACTTTTATGTGAGTGGTGTTTATTAAGAAAAATATATGCACACATACATGCACCTGTTACATCTCTACTGCGGAGCTAATGTGAATTTTTAAATTTCAAATAGAATTGCAACCACAATCACTTTGAAAAGAACATTCACTTCTAGTGAGGTTTATAGAGCCAGTAAAAGAATAAGGCAGACAAAAATGCAAAAGGTCGTCAGTTGGATTTTTTTTTTAATTTTAAAAATTTATAGTGCTATTGGGAAAGAGAATTGTTTTTATTACTATGCTTTTTGAGACTGAAAAGTTGTGTAATAGTATGGAGCATAGTACTTGCTACTTTTTAATTGCTGACAAACAGCTTTAAGTGCACTTTCTTTGATTACACTTCCATTTTTGTTAAACTTGAATTTTCTGAAGCCTCTTCTGTACCACTAAGCAAATTAACTTTTAAATAAGCCTGATTTACATCTTAAATATATTTCTATTTGTTACAAAACATACTTTCTAAAGTAACTTAAATCCTTAAGTGTAGGCTAGAAAACTGTTAAGTGATAGAATCAATTGCTTTTTTCCCCCTTCTTCTATCTAATTAAGCACTAACAGATTTTGCTACTTTATTGCCTTTATATTACTTATTGATTGAATTATCTCATTTACTTTGTTTTTGAAATTTAAAGTTATTTTCTTACTGTATTTATCATACTGTTTTAATAATCTGCTTTCTTTAAATGCAATAAATTGCAAATGGATTGCATATTCTTGATAATCAGTGACTTTAGTGTTTCATTATTTGTCTTATAAAGTTTTGGGTGTAAAGTTCCCTTTAGTTCTTTCACTCACCCCGATTTTAAGTACTCAACAATGGCATCAATCAGGGGCATAGGAAAATGGATTAGTTCTCTTGAGTTTAAAAACAAATAGTAATTGTTCAGTCAAGAAAATTTCTGATACAACAAAGGTTAAAGCAGAAATACAGGACTCTAAGCTGATTCGGCTTAGCTCGTGTGTGTGTGCGCGTGTGTGTGTGTGTGTGTTTGTGTGTGTTTGTTTGTTCTTGGACCGCACCCAGTGTGTTGGGGTATGTGTGCGTGTGTATTCTTGGACCACAGCCAGTAAGGTGGATCTTCTCCTGGGTCCTCTGGCTGTGTGTGTGTGTGTTCTTGGACTACAGCCAGTTGTGTGGATCTTCTACTGACGACAGGGCAAGTGTGAGGTGTGGAAGGGGGACAACACACACATGCTGTGTCCCGGGCTCAGCCCGGCCTGAGCTCCTCCAAGGATCTCACGTGCTCCAGCCCTGGAGCTGTCTCTCTGGTCGTGTATCATTTTTTTTTAAATTCCTTAAAATATTGGTTATGTACCTGGCAGAAATACTGATTAAAGCTTGATTATGTCAGAAAAGCAGCTTTAGCTTGTTAGAGAAAACTTACTTAGTGAACTGAAGAATTAAGCATTGCATATTGCAACATCGTATTCTACAAATTCCACAATTATCAATCAGATAGCTAGCTTGTGGAGTTCTTGATCTTGTTAGGAGTGCACTTTTAAGTTAAAAGGAAAATATGTGATTTTGCAAAGGGTTTTATATTTAGAAAATTTTTCAATATAAACTGTTATATTTCAAATTACATGGAAAAGTGAGGTATTTTTTATCTTTTAACAGTATAAAGGAACAAAGTACCACAAATGATTAGAGAAGTTACAGTAACAACTATACACGGAGTTTCATTGTTCAAATTTGGTTGTGGTCAATTTTAAAAACTTTGTTTACAGTAGTGTTCACAACAGTCACTTTTCTTTTTAGCTAAAATATGCTGCAATCTGAGTTACATAAAATATCTAATCCTGTTTTTTAAAGGCAATCTAGCTCTAGCATGAGATGTGAGATATTAATGTTTTCTGAGGGCATGAGGTTTTATTTTTACCCATACAGAATTTTGTATTGCTTCCGATCATTGGCACTACCAAAATTCCATGGACGTTCTAATCCTGAATTCAGAGAGTAGGAACAGAACCTTGGCGGCTATTTATTCCTCTCCTAACGATGGTTTTACTTTTTGTACCAGATCCTTGCCACGATGACACCTCTGCCTTCTGAAAACGTTTTCTCAAAGGTAGCTTCAACTTGAATAGCTGTCTCTCATTACCCAACTCCAGACGCATGATGGAGTTTCAGGGGACAGTGGTACTTAATATTAACTCCTTTCAATATAGCTGTTATAGTAAAGCATGTATGTATAAGCAGTTCTGATCCTCTCTCAGAACTGACTTGATTTTTCACGTTATATTCTGTCAGAGGTGGATATGGCTAACGTCACCAACTAGGGCATCTGAAAACAGGAATGGATGTAAGTCTAGTGAGCTCAGCAGAAATCCAGCAGTGTGGGCTCTGCCCCCAGCCACCAAATCTGGGGCAAAGGATATCTCTTAAGTACCTGCCAAATGAAGAGTTGTACAGCTTTATCCCATTCGGTCACAATCTTCAAATCGGTTACTTTGTCCGGATGGGAGGATGTAAGATGTGACAGACAGTCCCTGCATCTTCATTCCTGATTCTAAAATATGATTTTGAAATTATGTATTGTAAAGAAGGACAAGCAGCACATAATATATTTAGTAAACCCAATTTATTTACACAATACATATTTTTTTCCATGCATCTTACAGAATTGCACTCAGTGTAATAGCAAAAAAAAAAAAAAAACAAAACAAAACGAACAAAAACAGGCAATCATCTAACTATTTGAAAAGGACTTTGTATTTGTCTCTTGAATGAGTTAACTACAGCCTAAGTCACTAAGATCAATTTGAAACACCCAGGGATGATTTTAAAATGTCGTTGCACAGTCTATAGGTAAAGAGTCTAGAGTTTACACACTGGTTTAGCTAAAACTAGTCTTTTAGTGGGATAGCATACTTTCAGTCTTTACTGAATCTAGAAAAACAAAAATAAATATATATTGAGGCTCAAGATTTGTGGGCAACAATTATAAAATAGCTTTCAATGTTGACGTTAAAATTTTGCCAGAACTGATGTGCACACATGGGAGTGTTAATAGCTGACAGACAGTAGTTCATGTTCATCCATCCCCTACTTCAGAGATCAAGATGAAAGGCAAGCTTTCTTACAATACTCAACACTTCACCAAATTACAAAATGTCAAAATGTTTACATGATATAATTCTCCCCTAGAGCCAGAACTGCATGCCTTTTGTCAAACACATATTGTCTCATTCAGATGGCAATACTGACTCATTTAATGGAAAAAGCAAAAAAATATTTTTCAAAAAATCAAAATAAAATTAACCTTAAGTTTTATTTTTATATTTCATTTTAAAAAATGGAGCCAGACCCAAATTAACTGGGCTTCTCCATTTTAAAAATTAATTAAAACTACTCAGTAATAATTTTGTTTGGCCAAAATACCTATTCAAAGCAACATTCATCTAAGCCATTAGATATTTTCGGGGAAATAGAGCGTATTATTATTATTACTATTACAGCAGAATCTCATGTCACTTAGAATGTGGCATATCGTGGTCTGATGAAGTAAAAATGGCGTTTTCAAAGTACTGTCCGTAATAGCGTTCATCACAGTAGTGTAGTATAATCTTGCATGTGGAATCTAAAAACTACACTGAAAAGAAAAAGCTAATTTTGTTTGCTTTGGAGCTATGCCTGAGGTGGTTAGGGCTTTTTCCTGAGTCTGTGCTCAGTGTACAGGATTCAAGCTGCAGTCAGCTGTGTACAGGGGATGTTCCTCTTGGCCCCCTGAATTCTTGCTCCAAAAAACCAATTTTTACAGATGTATAACCTGCAGCACATTAAAGTAACATTCCAAATGTCAGATGTACACATATCACTTTGGAAACAGGCCTCACCACCAATGAACACTTTTGATATTTTATAATTCCAATGACCTTGCAATATATTAGTATTTAAAATAGTTGCAACTAACTCAGTAACCTGGTACTTTATATTTCAATAAACATGAAAGTCTTTAAAGGATTTAATTTATGCATATGAACAAACCAAATAATGAATGTTCTGCATATGGCAGAAGGTGGTGAGGTCTATTTTTAAAGTGGATACAACAGAAAGCAAATTTAATGTTTCAGACTCAACTATCAGTGAATACCACTACCATAATTACCAACATGAGGCTAATACATGCAGGAATAGTGGCTAATGTCACCAATTAGGGCATCTGAAAACCTTAAGGCTTTAAGGTTCATTTCAGGGTCCGAACTGGGCCAACTGGGTTCTATGGTCTTATAGGTAAAAACACCAGGAAAATTAGGGCTGCAAATTCAGAGGTAAAAACCTTCTGTGACCGGAATATTGGAACCAAAACTGCAGCCCATGACCAGGAGTTTGATGACTATGTGGAATTAAACTGTAGATTTGAAATAGTGTTGCCTGATCACACAGTCAAGTTTCTAAAGTGATTATTTGATGGAAAATGTTACTGCAAGTTGTCCCTCAATGCTCCTCAACCTCAGGGAGAAGAGGTTTCAAGATTTTGTTCTTAGGAACATAAAAAAAAAAAAAATCCAGTGTATCTAAGGAGAAGAGAACCTACAGGTAAAACAGCTAAAGCCAAGAGCCTAAGTGCCAGGTCCTCACCAAAATTGTATTTAAAGGCTCATGGTTATTCAAAGTCACTCTCCTAAGTTATATTCAGCATAGGCTACAGCAACCCTGGCCTTCATTAGGCACTTAAACTTGATAACTATTGTAAATACCGTCTATTAATCATGTTCCAATACAGGAATCACATAGGAAGACTCCGTTTTATAAGGGAAGCTGGTGTTAATAAAACAAATCCTTTGTCTAGACTGGTTTCACATTCACTGTTGTTATTCAGCTGTTTCCTGTGAATGCCAACTAATTTTCACTTTCTGTACAAGCAGCAAATAAGTAGTTTCAAGGGACCCCAAAAGTTACTATTACAGATTCCCAAGGACATTTTTTCCATTTTTATAAAGCATCACTCATGACATAACAATAGGAAAAAGGCTAAACTAAGAGGAGACGTAGAAATAGTGGGGCACACAACTCCCCGTTATCTATTGCTTATCAACTGAATACACCAGGTGGCCATACCTGAATTCACAAATGTGAAATATAGTCAGGACAAGGCTTGCTATGTCTGTACTGCATGACATACACTGTTGACTGATGCCACCAATATAACATGACTACTGCAAGGATATGCCATATTTGGTGGCTGGATCCGAGGTAGTTTAGTTGTCCTAGAAAACAGGAAAGAATACTCATTGCAATATCTGATTTTAAGAGAAACATTATTTTTAAAAGCCAAGGTGTTATATTTCACTCTATAGTTGTTACATTATTATCAAGAAAAATTAGTATTTGAATTTTAAGGTTTTATCAGATATGTGGGTAAATTCTAGAAATAGTATACAAGTATGTTTTCAGAATCCTTTGGTAACTTTCAGGAATCTGACTTTTCAGTTTGCCTCAAATAACTAGTGAAATGCAGAAAGATGTGAGCAAAATGAGGCAGCTACAGTTGCAAATCATAGTGATATTTCTGTTTTGCTTTGGGGCCAGAGCTAGCAATGCTCAGGGGTCAGTCCTGGCTCTTCATTCAGAAATTGCTCCTGGTGAGCGTGGGACACCACCTGGGATGCTGGGGATTGAGCCTGGGTCGGCCGCGTGCAAGGCCAGCGCCCTGTCCACTGTGCTATCTTTGCAGATCCATCCTTTAGTTCATTTCTATCAATAGACTTTCTCTGGACTGAAGAACCAGGGGACTCTCTCTCCCCGCCTAGTAGTTAATGTTTATCTTGGGGACATGAAGGACCCTTATGTTTTATTTTTCGTCGTAGTGAGTCAGAGTCCCAGAGTAGATGGTCAGCTTGGTCACCAGTTTATAATCATGGAAGGACAGTCACGATAGGACCTAACTCACGCTATGACAATGAAAGAGAAGGTGCCTGAATGCCCCCTCAAAGGCAAGTTCCACATCACACTGAGAACTAGCCATACACACTATGATAAAGAATACTGGAGTATCAGGTCTTTGATACGCTGAGGAACAGGCTCCAATCAGATGCAGAATAAAGTTTTGCAATGATAAGAAAAGCAATACCCACCTGGGAAGTACCGCTCTGGAACTTTGGAAATGTAGAATAGGAAAGCAAGAAGAGCAATCACGTACATCACAACAACACGGGGTGCGAAGTCCTGAAAAGCAAAACACAACTGTTTTCTTCTAGAGCCTCCTCCTGTGGCTGAGTCCCCAATATATGATGAATCTCATTCACAAGTTAGTAGGACTCAAAGTTGAATAGGAACTGTTTTTGTGGATGGTGTGCCATCACCGAAACCTTGCTTAATATTGCAGGAAGCAGACCTCAAGCATGAGGCATGCAGACAGAGTAGAACGTTAAAAGAGCTACAGCTTCACAATCGCCCTTGTCTGAAGAAACGCAGTCCGATGTAATGCATACACACTGGTCCTAATTCTTGTGAGAAACCTAATTTACCAGGAAATTGCTGACAAGTACTCTGGCCCCCTAAATGAAATATGCTCAGACTAATCAATTCCAGATAAACATTCCAGAACAGAAATCCACTCAACACCCAAGCATAGCACTTGTGGGACTTTTCACCTTTGCTTCCCATTTTTTAAAAATGAGCTCTTCAGGGGCTGGAGCAATAGCACAGCGGGTAGGGCGTTTGCCTTGCATGCGGTTAACCAGGGTTCGATTCCCAGCATCCCATATGGTCCCCTGAGCACCGCCAGGGGTAATTCCTGAGCGCAGAGCCAGTAGTATCCCCTGTGCATCGCCAGGTGTGACCCAAAAAGAAAAAAAAAAGAGCTCTTTAGAGCTAGACTTCTTAGGAAATCTTTCTCTGCCTCCTTAATGGGATGATCTAAAATCATCTAAGATCCCCACCTCTGAGAACACTATTTTCCTAAGCCATATTTCTATACTTTATGACGTCTGAACATAGGAAAATTCCTCCTTTTTTGGTCTGAATCTCCAAAATCTACTGGCTAAATGGGTCTGTCAAAATAAGCTGGAGAAGGGAGGTTCGACTCATCCAAAAATTTCAATCAGATCTTGTCAACAACCAGTTATTCCTTGTTGGTTAGAACTGAATCCACAGTGGCAGTTTCTTATTCTATTTCTTATTTTTATGAAAATGAAGCTCTCAGAAAAATGGTGTCTTCACAAACGGTCAGGAGCACTTAAGTTTCTCATCAGTACTCTCACCTTTCTCCAAATTTCTCAACCTCCAGAAGCCCTTATTTCCAAGCTGGCAAAACAAGATCTTCTTACTCAATTCACTGTATTGCGGAACTGCCTTTATTAATGAATCAATTTATTTATAGTTTTCCACCATGTTCTCGCCATCCTTGTAATAAGTATATGTGAACCTACTCTAAGTCCCCACCTTTTCTAAAAGAAAAACAAAACAAACAAAAAAACCCTCTCTTGAATAAAGCAACATTTAAATTCCATTTTAAGGCCTTTGCAGCAAGTGCATGTCATTTCTGTAAGATTTGGAGTAGAATGGGGCATGTTTACTTATTACCAATTCTCAACCTTGTCTGGATATATAGCTCAGCGGTAGGTAGTATACTTGCCTTGCATGTGTGAGCCTCTTGCTCTGATTCCAGCACCCTTCCCCCAAATGAAAATCTCAGGTTTCCTTTCAGACGCATACTTCAAAAAGCCTTTTTTAGGTAGAGAGAGAGGGGGTTGGGTCACACCCAGCAGTGCTCAGGTCTTACTCCTGATGAGCAACTCAGGGATCACTCCTGGAGGCTGAGAGCAAACCCAGGCTGGCCTTGTGCAAAGCTAACACCCTACCTGCTGTGCTATTGCTCTGGCCCCAGAGAAGACTTTTTACACAAATATCTGAGAATGTAATTTTTCAGTTTTTCCAGATCACCGAGTTCTCACCAAGATTCTCCCCTAGGTGCACCAACTGTTCTCCCATCACCGCAAATGCAAAGAGCCCTGCGTTGGTTTGTCATATTTTCCTTCTGTGAGTGGAATATGCTTTTAGCTAATATACAGTCATATATGGATGCTGGGAATCGAACCTGGGTCGGCTGCGTGCAAGGCAAACGCCCCACCCGCTGTGCTATCTCTCCAGCCCCACAGTCATGATTTTAAAATAATCTCCAACTCTGACAAAACTCCAGACACTATCTATACCTCTCTATCTCCAAGATTCTCAAACAATAGGTCCAAAAAATCCTCTTTCCGCCCCTCCTACTCCTCAAACAAAAAAGCCAGCTGTTCCTTCCTCTGTATTCAGGTTTTCAATAGCCTTATCCGCCCCAGCTGACAAAGTTGAAAACTTCAGAGTCCCACAGATAAGGATTTGGGCATTTGTACAGAAAGGAAAATGAGAATTAAGGATGTATGAACTCACCATTCCCCAAGCATCACGGCCCAAGCAGTACTGCATCCTGGCGCTACTGAAGTGAAATGATGGACCACTTGGCCAAGAACCACTGGTGGGGCCCCTGGACCTCCAAGGCACCATCCTCGGGGCTCTCTCTGTCTGTTCCAATCCCCAAACAACAAAACCCCAACTCCCTAGAAGTGAGCCTTTACTACTAATACTATTATAAAGTGTGTTTATCTGCATAGCCATGAAAATTATGACACTGAGATGCAGTTATGAGTAAGTTTCTGTATGTCTAAGACCGAACTCCTTGTCCAAACTACTAAAAAGGAATAAAATCAAAAGGACAAAAAAAAAAAAAAGCCCACACAGGGTGCATTATGTGTGTGTGTGTGTGTGTGTGTGTGTGCGCGCGCGCGTGCGCGCACGCGCTTGTGCAGACTACCCTCAACCTACCTGAACAATGGGAGCACCAATTCCTCCATTGAGCCAAACCCAGTGAAGAGTAGGGATCAGTCCGTATCCCGACACAGAACAGAAGATGATGGACCGGAGCCGCTGCCACTGCTGGGTGAGGTAATTGGGGTGAATCTGCGCGAAGAACACTGCCAGGATCATGGCCAGCACGGTGATCAAGTACACTTGCCGCCAGTACTGCAACCAAGGCCAACAAATGCTCACGGTCAGTCTCGGAGAAGGAAGGGAGAACCTTGCAACCCTAACTTGCATGTACCCGGTGCTTTCATTTCTCAACAAGACTACCTTTCTTCTTAAAAAAAAACAAAACCCACAGATTCTCTACACAATTGTCCTCTCACTATCCTCAAGCCCTGCTCCCCAGGGAGTGGGTAAGTACAAGATCACATTCAATCCTGGATGGTTGGATAGGATATGTCACACAGAGCTACATGGCCCGACTCTCCCGGGGTGAACAGAAAACAATGGGAGGGCAGAAGTGAGGTCACATGCTCATGCGCAAAGGGTTAAGTACTCTAAGTACTGTAACTGGGTTATAAACAGAACGCTGCAGACCCACAGAAGAGGGCGCGGTCGATGTTACCAGAAGTTACTGGCGAAAATGCTCCACAGAAGCATTGTGCTCCTTGGAGCAAAATTGCTTGGAGCAAAAATCCTACAGGCTGGGTCCTGAGAAACACACGAGATTTTGCGAGAAGAGGGAGCTTTCAAGGCAAAAGACGAGCACGTGTGCGCCACAGGGGAGTTATCCAAGGAAGGCTGAGAGCCGGGGCGGACCGTCATCAGGGTAGGCAGAGGAAACTTGACCAAATTGATCCTGAGGTGATGGTGGGGTTCTGTTAAGAATGATGGAGCTCAGGGTCCGAGTGATAGCACAGCGGGGAGGGTGTTTGCCTTCCAGGAGGCTGGCCCAGATTCGATCCCCGACATCCCATATGGTCCCCTAAGCAACGCCAGGAGTAATTCCTGAGTGCAGAGCCAGGACCCCTGAGCATCACTGGGTGTGACCCAAAGGCAAAAACAAAACAAAACAAAACAAGAATGATGGAGCGTAATCATTTTCTGCACATGGGTTTATTACAAAAATAACCTTGACATCAGCATAGCAAAGAAAAAGGTAAGCTGGCAGAGGAGACACTAGAATAGATCCAAAGAGAGAGTGGGGGGTCTCTAGGAGGACAGCCTTGCGCACAAGCCTGAGGAGACACCTCTGAAATCAACTCCAGTCTCGGCTGATAGGACGTGGGAAAGGCAACAAGAGACAAGCAAACTCAAAGGAACCTCAGCGACTTCTATATAACACAGATCCAGGTGTGGGGAGAAAGGGGACAATGTGGATGAATATTCATTTAAAAAGGTAAATCTAAAAGGCTGACAGAATATTTGGTTCCTAAATGAGAAGTTGGAAAGTTGGTCCAAGAGTTCAAAAGGCAAAAAAAAAAAAAAACCCAAAAAAACAAACAACCTTGAACTGTTTTGAACTGTTTTATTATAGCATCACACAGGAAGAGCTCACTCCTTAAGGAGCCTGGTCAGACATGAGCCCAAGCGAACTTTCTTTGGAATGGAGGGTCGGCAGTTTTTAATCTCATTCCTGAAGCAGATTGTGTGACTTAGCAGGGAGAAGAGCTGCTATGGTAATAATTATTTAAAAATGACTATATCCCAGAGGAGAGAAAGCAAGTTGCCTCCGTGTGACCACTAAAGGATCAAGCTTACAATAGTTTTTGCCTTTCTCCTGTCTTAGATTTGCTATTCTGAAATGAGGTTTAAGAAATAAGTTGGGGGGGGGGGGGTGTCTGGAGCCATAGCACAGTGGGTAGGGAGTTTGCCTTGCACATGGCTGACCCAGGTTCGATTCCCAGCATCCCATATAGTCCCCACGCACCACCAGGAGTAATTCCTGAGTGCAGAGCCAGGAGTAACCCTTGAGCATTGCTGGGTGTGACCCCAAAAGCAAAATAAATAAATTAATTAATTAAAAAGAAATAAGTCAGGGGTTGGAGCGATAGTACAAAGGGCAGGGCATTTGCCTTGCACATGGCAGACCTGGGCTTGCGTCCTGGCATCCCATATGGTCCCCCAAGCACCGCCAGGAGTAATTCCTCAATGCAGAGCCAGGACTAACCCCTGAGCATCGCCGGGTGTGTCCCAAGAAGCGAAAGAAAAAAAAGAAAAGAGTCAGTCTGGTCTCTTTGCTCATCAGTCACGTAGGAGTAGGTAAAGAGAAACAACCTTCACAACGATGTACAATAAAACAGGCAAAGCAGTTCAAACAGCAGGTCAGTCTGCAGAAGCATTTGCAGCATGGGCCCACTAGGTTTTTCTTAAAAATCTCAATGACTTCATGCAAACTACACAGGTTGTGAAAGTAGAGCAGATATGTATATAGTTCAGTGCTAAGAATCAACTCAGAGCCAGGGTAACTAAATATATACATATATATTTTAATTACATGCTTATGCTCCCAAGTAATTAGCTCTAAATAGCAAATGGCTCCCATATAAGCTTTAAAAATGCTCCTACACACTGAAACCCAACATCTTATGTTCCTCTTTGGGACTTTTCTGGTTTTTTTTTTTTTCCCCTCCCTTTTCTGCCATTCCGTACAGGAGCAGGACACAGAGATCCGTCCCTCTTCGGATCATGGCAATTTTACTCAACCCCACAAGCACGGCCACTAAAGTCTATTAGTAGGAGTAAACATGGCAGTGAAACAGGAACCTCTCTGCTACTTTCGTACTTCAGTTACGTTCAGGGTTTTCTGTGTCAACGAGGAGACAAAGGTCCTGCTTCAGTACTGCTAGATTGCAAACCATAATGCCCATAAGTAGGGAGAGAATAAGAGGAAAATTATCTGTCATAGAGGCAGGGGGAGGAGAGGGATGTGAGTGGGGTGGGGGAGGGACAGCGGGGAAACTGGTGATGGTGAAGGTGCACTTGTGGAGGAATGGGTGTTCGATCACTGTATGACTGACACTCAAACATGGAAGCTTTGTAACGGTAGCTCACAGTGATTCAATAAACAGTTAAAAAAAATTGCCAGAACATGGGGCCTAAGCCACAGCTCAGCACGTAGGGCACTGGTCTTGCATGTGGCTGACCTGGGTTCGATCCCTGGCATCCCATATGGTCTCCCTGAGCACCACCGGGAGTAATTCTGGAGGGCAGAGCAGAGCCAGGAGTAACCCCTGAGCACTGCCAGGTGTGGCCCCCAAACAAAAACAAACACAAATGCAAACAAAACTTGAAGAAAAAAAAACAAAACAGAAGAATTGCCAAAACATCCGAGGTATCCTGTACAGCTGCCAAATCTTTAATAACCAAGACCCGGAGGACAGCCCGGAGCTGAGCACCTAACCCCACTCAGAGGGCGGCACTGGGCAGGCTGCAGGCTGCGTGAACAAGGGCAGGATTAACGAGGATGTGGATTGCTCCCAAGAGAGGCACCATCTTAGCCCTCAAAACAGAGGAAACGTGGGGCCAGAGCGATAGCACAGCAGGTAGGGTGTTTGCCTTGCACACGGCCGACCTGGGTTCAATCCCCGTCATCCCATATGGTCCCGTAAGCACTGCCAGGAGTAATTCCTGAGTGTAGAGCCAGGAATAACCCCTGAGCATCGCTGGGTGAGACCCAAAAAGAAAGAGAAAAAAAAAGAGGAAACAAACACGAATCAGTTTAAGAAAGAACGGTGGGAGAGCAGAAGGAAAGAGAGCGCGGCTGATGAGAACACTCCCAGGGGCTGGGTTTGGACTGAGACCCCGGGAAAAGTCAGTCTGGTTTGCGGCCGTGACAAAGGCAGAAGAGTGCGGGTTATAATCCATAGCGTCTTTCCGGTGAAGACCATAAAAACGGATGCCCGTGTGTCAAAGACTGCTTCGATTACAGCAGACACTGACTTTTGATCATTCAGATCCAGACACTAGAATGTAAGATACCGCCAAGTCCTAAGACAAAGGAAAAAGGAAGCACTTTTTTGGGGAAGAATATGATGAACGCACTCACAGGCAAACCTTTTGGAAAAACAAATGAGAGAGTAGTTAAGGATAAGAAGGGAGAAGAGGGAAGGGACCACCAGCTTCAGAATTTTCTCATGCCAAGTTTAACCAATGTCTACAGATGTCTAGACACAAAAATTAAAAATATGAACTATGCCTCTGAGAATACACAACTATACAAGTTTAACAGGAATAATTTAATATTGGCATTCATGTTCAGAAAAGGATTATGTACAATGGGGAACTAGTGAAATGAGTACTGAACCGATAACAAGGAGGAGATCACTAGCCGCCTTTGAAAATGGGTCTATGCCTACACAAGCAAATCCTGGATTAGAAGATAGAATGCAAAATGTTTCAAGTTACTTACATCACTGCGTCTTAAATTACTTACATTATTACAATAGAATGCGTAAAAAACTCCAGAAACATAGCAACCCAGTATTCCAATAGAAATTCCTGCATAATCTAGTGCCATCCATCTTCGACAGGTTTTTTCGGATCGATGGCAGGAAAAAAGATGATAGCCAACAGAGCAAAGCATACAGACCTAGGAAAACACAACAGTTCTTAGTCAAGTGCAATAGAAAGAAATTAAACTCACACATGACGTTCAAGAAAGTGAGTAAGAGTCCAGCTTTCTGGCCAAACAGATCTGGGCTTGGATTCTTAAGAGCTGGTAAGACGTGTCATTTCTAAACCTGCCTCTCTCCTCATGAGAAAATGGGGATAATAGGCATAAAGCAATTGAAAATGACAGTCATTTTTAAGTAGAATTTCTTTTTATTGGGTTCTCAATGGTTGGCAACAGTGTTAATGCTAAATTTTGGCTTTAGGGCTTATGTTGTGACTATCACTCCCCATGAAGCAAGAATATCCTTCACCTCTGTCCTGAGGCCCCATCCCATCCACTCTTCCCTCCAAACAAACATGGTCAATGAACAGCACAGTATAAAGAAAGCTGCATGATAGATATTTTAAAAATCTATTGTGGGGCTGGAGAAATAGCACAGCGGGTAGGGCATTTGCCTTGTACGTGGGCGACCTGGGTTCAATCCCCGGCATCCCATATGGTCCCCCGAGCACTGCCAGGAGTAATTCCTGAGTGCAAAGCCAGGAGTAACCCCTGAGCATCACTAGATGTGACTCAAAAAAGCAAAAACAAACAAACAAATAAACAAAAAAAAACACAACAAAAACCTCCCTATTATATAGAGATTTAAAATGAAGCTTATTTTAATTCATAAATGAATTTCCTCTTGGGGCCACGTAGTGCAGGTGATAGGGCCCCCTGCATTCGGCAGACCCCAGTTTGATTCCCAGCACTGCATATAGTCTCCTGAGCACCACCAGGAGTGATTCCTGAGCACAGAGCCAGGAGTAAGCCCCGAGTGCAGTCTGGTGTGGCCCCAGACCAAAAACCAAAAGTATTTACCACAGAAGTACAATCGGTTATTTTGGGGATGGGGTCTGGGGAAGGGGGACTTAGGCCATGCTTGGTGATGCTCAGGGGCTGGTCCTGGCTCTGTGTGCAGGAACTGCAGTGCCAGGGAGCAAAGGGCTTCGGCCAAATGCAAAGCAAGTGTCTTAAGTGCCATCTCTATGGTCCAATATCTGTTGTTAAAAAAAGAAAAATAAAAGATGAACTGTATGATGTAAAAAGAAATTGGCCTCCTCTACTCAATCTAATCCCTAGAGGCCATAATATGCATCCTTTTTGGTATTTTCAATGAATATATCCAACACCTGTGATACACAAGTCTACATACAGACCACACACACACACACACACACACACACACACACACACACACACACACACACACTACATCTAAACTTCAAAGAATTAAACATCATTCTATTACACATCTGTTTTAGCATTTGTTTTTATCATTTAAGACTTTAATATCTATGAGATTTCACCGTAGGATTTATTTTAAGTTCTAAGTTAAACACGGCTTTGTTGTATTCAGGAAAAAAACACTAATTATGACTGGCGCTGACTTTCGGTAACTGCCAAACTGAGCGCAGCCCTGGCAGACACCATCAGTGGCTCTGAGCGGGGAGGCGCTCTCTGGCAGGAACCCCCCCTCACTCCGACCTTTTACTGAGTGACGGGGGGCAGGTATTGGATGATCAGTCCATGCTGGGAGGAGGAGTAGGATGAAACCGCTACTTCTCAAAGATACGGTGTTTGAAACAAGTGGACGATGGTGATGGAAAAAGTCCAGTGAGACAAGTCAACACAGTGACTTGTCCTGAGTGAGACAAGTCAACACAGAACACAAAGAGAAAATAGGGAAGGGGTATAGTGATGGTGGGGTCTGTGTCCTCCCTGCATGCATGGTGAGAGGAAAACGGCTACCCAGGGTCATCGCCTGGGCAGAAGCGGGAGAGAGTGGTCCAGCATCCACCAAGGACATAAGTACAAAACAGTACACACAGAGGGCGGGGGAACCCCTCAAGGAAAACAGCAGCCGGAGAAATATAGAAGCACTAAGGAATGCCAACTTACAAAGCTTACGCCCCCTGAGCTTTTTTTTTAACGAGACGACTGTGATATGCCCTACAGACCTAAACGCCTTCCCATCACTGTTCTGAGCCAGGTACAAGTCAAGTGAAGACATTAAGCTGAAGGAGACAATAACAGGAGCATCTGCTGGCAGCAACCAGCAACGACAAGTGCCTTAAACTAAGCCAGGGACACGGGAGCTGGAGAAAAAGGGACAAACAAGAAATACAAAGCAGATTGACTTGACAAATACTTTTGCAAGCAACCGTGAAGGCAGAAAATGGTCATCTGTTCTATAATATGGCCGTTCGGCAAGTCCAGCTGCTTCCCAGAGCTTAACCTCAAGCAAGATTCGGTGTTCCCCGCTGCAATCCCACTTTTCTGTCCACGGTTGAAAATCCCCGCTGGTCTGCAGCTTTGGCTCCTGAGTCAGCGTTTACTGGCCATATTTACCATAGTTCAACCTTTGGTTATTGTTTTCTCAGTTTATCCCTCAAATAAGACACAGTAGACCCAGAGACCTTCTGGACATACTGTCTCGGTGACATGGTTTAAAAGAAGTTCACTGATGCCATCAGTGACAAAAACCAGAGGCAGAGGTGACACAGCCTGAACACGGGCAGACAGGCTCGGGGTATCTGTACAGAGCTACATGCCTCGGTGCATTTTATTTTTTTGCTTTGGGGAGCACACCCAGCAGTGCTCAGGGCTAATTCCTGCCTCTGTGCTCAGGGTTTACTGCCAGTAGGCTCAGGGATAAGCAAGACTTATCCTCCCTGCTAGACTATTGCTCCGGCCCTTCTAGGGGAATTTTATCCCAATGTCAATTCCTCTGGGAAGTGGACTTTCAAATGACTTTCACTTTCTTCCATAAACTGCTTTGTTTGCTTTTATGTCTACAGCACTATACCTTACAGTAATAATAAGAGAACGAGAAAATGAACTTCGTGGCGAAAAGGATAATAAGAGAGGAAATAAAGCCCATAGTATCAAAAGGAAGTAAAACAGATTTTGCGTCAAGAGAGAACCCTTAAATTTTGTTTTGATTTGGGGGCAACACCTGGCAGTGCTCAGGGCTCCTGGCTCTGTGTTCAGGGGAACTATATGTGGTGCTGGGGACTGAGTCGAGGTTCACTGCATGCAATGCAAGCGGCCTACCCACTGTACTATCTCTCCAGCAATTTTTAAAAAGAACACTGTATACAACCCTTATTCTTAAAAGGGCTAACCTACATTTGCTATGTTCTGTTTAAAAAGGATGTATTATTGGGGCTGGAGTGATAGCACAGTGGGTAGGGCATTTGCCTTGCATGCGGCCGACCCAGATTCGATTCCCAGCATCCCATACGGTCCCTTGAGCACCGCCAGGAGTAATTGCTGAGTTCAGAGCCAGGAGTAAAGCCCCGAGAGTTTTACTCCTGAGGTCCCAAACCTGCCCCCACCAAAAAAAAAAAAAAAAAAAAAGATGACTTAGTATCTGGGGGGGGAAAAAAAAGGTTTTAGTTTTTAAAATTTCTTTCTGTTGAGTGTCTCCCTCCATCAAAAATAATAAGCCAAGATCGCAGGCTCCCACCTGCTTTTCTAAGTCCTAGAAAAGTTTTCTAGTTTCCTTTTCTCCATCTCCTAGGGCTCCAATGCCAGATTAGCATCTGAGAAATCCCCAAGTGCCGAATGTCTCTTGCTTCTGGGCTTTACACAAACTAACCGTCCTCCTTGAGTGCTCCTCACGCCCTCCTCCCCAGTGACGTGCTCTGTGGGATGTTGGGTCTGCGCCGTGCTGTGCTCCAGGAGGCGGGCACAGTTAGGGGCTGGACATGGATACAAGGGCACTGGAAAATATTTGCTGGCGAGGAAACTAAGGCGCTAAATCTAGGATGAAGTTGTTCGTGCAGCAGATTCTTCTCTAAGAGACGCCTCTGGGAAAATAAATGCAAACTGCCTGAAAAGTATCAAGCACATACAATGGGTAGAAATGAGAAAGAAAGAATGCTGTTTAAAAAAAAAAAAAGAAAGGAAGAAAGCTAAACACATTAAGATGTATGTGGATTACTATGCTGCCCTGCTAAATCAAGGAAATTTGGAGATACTGGACAACAAATTTGTAAATATAAGTATAAAAAAAAAAAAACAAATGGCATTTTTAAATAGGAAGATTCGACGGTAGTATTGGTAAGTGGGTTGGGTGCTTGCCCTGGATTTGGCCAACCCAGGTCTGCTTCCTGGTACTCCTTATGGTCCACTGAAAACTGCCAGGAGTCAGCCCTGGGCACTACCGGGTATGGTCCAAAATCCAAAAGAAAGATTTGCTCAAACCTCACATTAGGTAAAGTTGTATGCCTCAGAAAGATCACTGCACTAGCAGAAAAGAGGGCAGATTTTACTGTCCTGCTAACCTGGGCGAGTTCCTGTCTGTCATACTCTGATTGTGTCTTCATTGACTATCAAATATCATAATTTCAGTTTTTCAATACAAAATTAATGTGAAAATTAATAATAGCCCCTGAACTAATACAGCTTTGCCTAGGTACTGAAGGGATAGAGGTCTGAGTGTAAAGAAAAATAAGTACGTTTCTTAAATTGGGTCATATTCATCTAATAGTAAAGTTTAAACCAGTTTCTATTTATTAATGATATTAAGTGCATCTTAGTCTATGATAAGAGACCAAAAAATTAAATGCTGAGGAAATGAATTCATTTTCACTTAAACATGTAGAGCTGGACTCCTGTGCCCCTGAACGCCATCAGAAGTAATCCCGGAGTATAGAACCAGGAGTAATACTGGAGTAGAGAACCAGGAGTAATCCCGGAGTATAGAACCAGGAGAAATCCCGGAGTATAGAACCAGGAGTAATCCCGGAGTATAGAACCAGGAGTAATCCTGGAGTATAGAACCAGGAGTAATCCCTGAATAGAGAAGCAGAAGTAATTCCTGAGTATAGAACCAGGAGTAAGCTCTGAGTATAGAATCAGGAGTAAGTCCTGAGCACTGTCAGATGCAGAACCCCCACACCCCCCAAAGGCCCTCCCGTTGATCATCGATTTGCTCGAGCGGGCCCAGTAACGTCTCCATTGGAGACTTTGTTGTTACTGTGTCTGGCATATCGAATACGTCACGGGGAGCTTGCCAGGTTCTGCCGTGCGGGCGCACCCCCCAAAACAAACAAAAATGTTTAGGCATCAATTTAGTACAAAACCTAAACTTGAGGAAAAAATCTTAGGGTCTGAAAGCTGAGATGTGGTCCAGTGGTACAGCATTTGCCCTGCATGTGTAAGGCACTGGGTTCAATCCCCAGAGGCACAAACCATACAAACAAAAAATAGCACTAGCATTGTCCTCCCCTTGTTCATCGATTTGCTTGAGTGGACAACAGTAGTATCTCCATCGTGAGACTTGTTGTTACTGTTTTTGGCATACTGAATATGCTACGGGAGTTTGCCAAGCTCTGCCGTGCAGGTGGGATACTCTCGGTAGCTTGCTGGGCTCTCCGAGAGGGGCAGAGGAATCAAACCCAGATTGGTCGCGTGCAAGGCAAATGCCCTACCCACTGTGCTATCACTCCAGCCCCAAACAAAAAATACTTCCAAAATAATTTTCTAATTCATCATTACAAGCAGAGTACAAGAGTATACTAATAAGAATTTCCCTCAAAGAAATGTGAAATATTATTCCAGAATTAGAATTAGAAAAAACAAGGGGATATTCTTAGTAAGATTTTTAGTCACTCAGCTTTAAAGTTGGAACAAAATGAAGGCCTGATATTAATGATATGTAAAGAAAGCAACATCTGTGCAACTGACTTAGAGATTTCATCTCTTAGACTACAACAGATTAAATGCAGAGAGTACTGGTCTGTGTTCATAGAAGGAAAGAGCACTTTTTTTTTCTTTTTGGGTCACATTAGTGATGCTCAAGGGTTATTCCTGGCTCTGCACTCAGGAATTACTCCTGGCGGTGTTGAGGGACCATATGGGATGCCAAGGATTGAACCTCGGTTGGCTGCGTACAAGGCAAACACTCTACCTGCTGTACTATAGATCCGGCCTCTTCTTTTCATTTTTATGGGTATTTTCTGCATTCTTTTGGAATTTTTTGAATTAACAGGAATAAAAATCTATACTTGCTTTCATCTTTAAGAGCAACTGCTTATAAAACTATAAAATGCAACCTTTAAAGGCACTTTGAATCCTTGAAGAAAAATGAAATTATGAAAGCTCAATTCATACTAAGAAAAGATATATCAGGGAGGAAAAATGGAAAGTATCTGAAACAGGCAAGTGTAAAAGGGTCAAGGACTTTACAGATCAATAAAATTAGAAAAATTTTATTTTTCTAATATTTTTTCTAAAAGTGAAAAAAGAGAAAGCTTTTAAAATAGGGTTTAAAAAAGACATGAATGCTTTACTTGAACCAGATAGTACAGTACAAGAGATTGTAATCCTTATTCTATTCCTATTTATCTTAAAGCAGAGATACTTAAAAAGCAACAGAAAAGAAAAAAAAAAGCCTCAATCTTTAAAACGTATTGGCTCTCAAATTTAGTCAAGTAATAACATCCAAATGTAGTCTTATAAAATACTCTTGGTGCTTGTATTATGCAAGTGAACAAGTAAATGGACTGGGGGCTCTTTAAAGCCCAGGGCGAGTATGCCAGACCACCTACCCACGTTTGCCTAAATGAAATCCTCTTTACCAGTAACTCACCTGGAAGCAGAAAAGACAAATGGAACAAATCACAAAATCTTCTCTGGATGCACTGGCCGACGGTAACACAGATGTCATGTCATAGATGCCCAGGGTGAAGAAGAGGAAGAAGCCCAGCAAATGGCTCCAGATGTTAACTGTCTCATTGGACAGAATAAACAAACTGGAAAACAAACACGCAACTCAGGTTCACACCGTCTTGCTCTTCGGTCAGCAGGCTTATGGAAGCCCGCCCTTGCTGTTCTAAATGTGAAATAATCACTTAGTTAAGTTAATCCCAATTTTCTCCCATTACCAATTCTGGCGTCTCTTAAGGATTGTTGCTGTTGTTGTTATCTTACTCCTATTACCATACTTACCATTTCCTTCTTCATCTTAGAGTTGTTTATGTCAAGAGCTGAAGAGATAGTACAGTGGGGAAGGTGTTCGCTTTGCACATAACTGACCCACTTCTAGCATCCCATATAGTCCCCAAAATACTGCCAGGACTGATTCCTGAGCACAGAGCCTTGGGCACTGCTAAACGTGACCCCAGTATGTAGCCCCCTCAAATGTTGTTTATGTATGAATTCCATCTCTTCCTCTACCAAGTCCTAAAGAGCAGTCACCTTCCATTTTTATGCCCTACTGTTCCAAGTACAGTCCCTTGCCCAGATTAGATATTAAATGTCTGCATAAAGCCAATGTGTGTGTCAGAATTGGAAGTTAGCTAACATACTTTGATGATGTTCAATAATAATAGGTACCTGAAAATTTGCTAAACCTAACATTAGGCGCAGACTTGAAATACCTTTTTACTAATTACTGAGTGTAAACACAACGTTATAGGGACTTAAAAGGAGTGGAATAAACACAAATCACTCGATTGGAAATGTCCTTGAAGGTAGGATGCTGAACCTTTGCTGTGGCTATTTTGAACCAAACTTACTTCAAAGGAGACATGAATTTAGTTTCAGCAGCACTTAGCAGTATTCTCATTATCAGTACTATCTGCTCTTTCCAAATGCCTGGAATAACTGGTTTCTGCTTTAATCTTGGCCACACAGGTCGGGGAAAGGTATATCCTCCCAACAGAAGCCCAGAGCTCTGTGATCCCAAATGCATCACCTGACCTCTCTGGCTTCTGCTCTTAGATCTGTAAAACAAGTGAGTCAGATTAGATGCTGCTCCAAGTCACTTCCGGTTCCTTAATTTTGCAGCAGTGGCTCGGGCTCATCTGATTCTGAAAGTAATGAAATAATTTATCATAATGACTAAAGATTAAATGTCTCCTGCAAACTCTCTGTGTGTGTGTGTGTGTGTGTGTGTGTGTGTGTGTGTGTGTGTGTGTGTAAACTAGGATCTCTGACCTCCGCTGATCTGGAATACTTTTTAGAAAATAAATATAAAACACTAACCTACTGAATTTCACCTCATCTCCACGGCGCTCCTTTTCCTGAATCATAAGCACAAGAGGGTCTCACACTAGCGGATGATCATCAAGAATAAAGTTTATCTTCTATTACCTGAATTAGAGAATTAGTGATTTTCTGGCCTATTCTGTACAAGTATCAAGAACTTGTATGTGGGCAGGAGAAAATGGTGTAGGAATAAGAGAAATCTAAGGACTAATCTACAAGATAATTTTGATAAATACTATAGTCTGCTTGCTGCCTCGAACTTTTGTATAACCGGATTGATTAACTCAACTGAGAGGCACAATCTTGCCGCTCTCCTGCCAATTCACAGTTGTGATAAAATGGTTGTGACATGCAAAACCTCTCTTTACACCCAAAGTCAGTCCTGACTACCTAGGACAGCTCAAAAGAGAGAGGCAGATGCGGAACCTGGAACCAGCAAGAAGCTGGTCTAAGAGCACTAAAGAGAATATCCCCAGTAGAGGATTTACTGGAATTCTGTGAAAAGTTATGCACATATTCTGTTCAACTTCAAAGTCAATTATCAATTACATATGTTATTTTTATCTGTATTGCTTTCTGAATATTTTTTTAAAATGGGGACAAGAACTCTCAAACTTTGTACAAGGTTCCACAGCAAGTAAAATGGCAGATCTCGATACTAAATGTTTTTTACTCAACTGCCTAAGAGTCAAAGCACTGTATTTCATTGATATATATATATATATATATCAATGGTGGTATATATATATATATACCACTCCATGAGATTGGAATAGGAACACAAGAATGCAGAAGACCACTGCTTTGATGGCTGTGACATCTTTACTGCAATTCAATAACTGCTCTACTTCGTAGATTTCCACATGCACAAGCAGAACTCAGTTCTGAATTACTGTATATTTACTTCTGTATCAGAGCCCTGGGGGAGGAAAACACGTTTCTGGGATGGATCCAATTCATGAATTTCTCCCCACCACCCCTCCAAGCCAAGCAGGGATGAACTGTAATATTTATTTTGTTACTGAGTGTCACAGAGCAATTCTTTTTTGGGGGTGGGGGATGGATTAAACCCCAAATGACACACACATGCTAGGACGCAAGGCAAGAATGAATACCCTACCGCTGAGCTACCGTACCCAGCCCCGATCTAAGTAAGGCACGGCTAATGGGAGCAGGAAAAAGATCATTCCGACAAGATCAAGGATGGACCCTGGCTGAGGCTGGGCTGTTGGACAGCCCACATTCCTGCACCGGGGCTGGTTCCCACAACTGACCTGGATCTTAACTCTGTCACAGCCAGCGCCTATATTTAAGCACAGGAGGTGGTTTTGTAACACAAAGCTGTCCTAAGACCTAGCACTCTCTTTTGGACACTTTGGCTCTTTTTTTTCCCCTCCTTTACTCCCTTTCTTTCTCTCTCTCAGGCCTTTCAGGAACTCTAGCGTGGCCGTTCCAGGTCCTCCCGGGCCCCTTGTGCTTTTCCAGCGAGGCCCTTCCCACAAAGGTTATTGTGTAACCGTGTAATCAGTGCAACCTCTCTTTAATATCTGTCGGCCAGGCGAGACTTTGGCAACTTCCTGAGAACCAGGGCCGTGTGTCTGCTGCGGTGCGGGTGACCTGGGTGGAGGAGAACCTGGCCAGGCGAGGGGGTGCCCAGCCCCTGCGGGAGAAATGAGTCAGGGGCGTACACACACACACACCCACGCCCACGGGAGAACCTGTTTGCCACTATACAGGCATCGGGGTGGTCCCGAGCATCCTGCTTCCTCGGGGGCGGCCCGAGAGCAGCAAAGCTCAGCACAGATGAGGCCGGTGGTGGTGGGGGTGGGTTGGCGGGGGGCGGGGGGGGATGGCTACGGCCCAGAGCGTGTCACCTGGGGTCGATTCGACCCAGCTGCCCCAACCAGCAGCAAACGGAGCAGCACAGGAGAGCGCCGGGCGACAGCTCGCCCTGCGGACCGCGGCTGCGATCGGCGATCAGCGATCGGCGGCGGCGCAGGGAAGGATGGAGAGAGGAAGCAGAGAGGGATGTTGAGGACCACGGGGCAGGAGGAGGTGATGGGCACGGATGGAAGCGGCGGCGACCAGACAAAAAGGGCGCGGGGGGGTGGGGGGGCGGGGAGGAGAGGAGGGGGCGGAACCGCCCGGACGGTACCTTTTGATGCACAGTCGCGAGGGCAGGTAGGCCCGGTAGCCGTCGGTGATGTACGGGTTGTCCTTGAGGGACACGGGGATCTGCTCGTAGGTGTAGAGGCGGATGCCGCGAGGCACCAGCACCGGCCAGTACTGGTAGCTGCCCAGCTCGATGTAGTGAGCGCTCTTGAGCAGCTTCTGATGCATCCTCGCGCGCCGCCACGGCTCCCGGGGCCCCGCCTCCCCGGGGAGGGGGCTGCTCCGCCGCCGCCGCCGCCGCCGCCCCCGCCCCGGAGCCCCGGAGCCCGCAGACGCCCGGCGAGATGGCACCGGGCCGCCGCTTGCCCAGGCCGGGCTGTGCGCACACACCCGCCCGCCCGCGCCGTCCGCGCCGCGGTTCCCGTGACGTCAGCACGCCGCGGCGGGCCACGCCCCACAGGCGGGCCACGCCCTCGTGGGTGTGGCTGAGTGAGGCCACGCCGTCCTCCTGGGCGGGCATTGTTCAGGGATACGCCTCCTGGGCGTGCGCTGGGATAGGCTACGCCTCTATGGGGGCGGGCACAGAAGGGGCCACGCCCCTGGGCTTGTGCTGGGCGGGGCCACGCTCCGGGGCGGGAGCTAGGAGAGGCCACGCCCCTAGGAGGGCGCTGGGCTGGCACTGGGCGAGGGCATGACCCTGAGAGTGCGCTGGGCGGGCTCTGGGAGAGGCCACGCCTCCTAGACGGGCGTGGGGCGGGGCCTCGGGGCTCCGACGCCTCGGGGCGGGGCGGGGCGGCGCGCACGTGGGCCAAGGGGCGAGACGCTGCCCCCTGGCGACGGAGCGTCTCCGTGGCTGTCGCTGTCATCCCTACGTGGGGCTTGAAATTGCGGAAAACGGGTTTGGAAAGGTCGAGAATAAAGAGGGCTCCTCCGGGGTCGTGTTGCTCGGCAGCTTACACTGGGTGGTGTGCTGCGGTGAGTAGAAGTTGCTGGAAGAACAGGGATCAAAGTGTGTGCATCTGCAGTGAAGATGCAGGAAGCCCAGAAACCAGAGGGTTTTTTTTTTTAATTAGTGAAACACCATGAGGTATAGTTGTAGACTTATAAGCTTTTGTGCTTGGGTTTCAGTTATATAATGATTGAGTGCCCATCACTCCACAGTGCCGGTTCTCCACCACCAATGATCCCAGTATCCCTCCCACCTCTCCAAACCCCCATCCCACCCTGTCTCTGTGGCAGGGCATTCCCTTTTGTTCTCTCTCTCCTTTTGGGTTCTGTGGTTTGCAAAAGAGGCATTGAGTGGAAATCATGTTCGGTCTATGTAGTCTACTCCCAGCATCTCCCATTCTGGGAGGATCCTCCCAACACCCTTTATTTGGTGTTCCCTTCTCTATCTGAGCTGTGTTTTCCCCTAGTATGTCCTGCAGGCTTCTAAGCCCCTGAGCAGACCTCTTGGTGTTTATCCCAACTATTCTTGGGTGTTTGACTCTCGTTCTGTTACTTTATATTCCCCAGATGAGTGCAGTCTATGTCCGTCCCTCTCTTTCTGGCTCATTTCACTTGGTAGTCTATGTCTGTCCCTCTCTTTCTGGCTCTTGTCACTTAGCATGATACTTTCCATGTAGAACCACTTGTATGTAAGTATCATGACTTCATCTTTTCTAACAGCTACATAGTACTCTATTGTGTAGATGTACCAAAGTTTCTTTAACCAGTCATCTGTTATCAGGCACTCGGCCAAATTTTGACTATTGTGAACAGTGCAGCAGTGAACATAGAAGTGCAGATGTCATTTCCACTGTACTTTCAGAAACCAGTTTGTGCCTGGGTCACACGCTCGAGATAAATAAGAGGCGCAGAGATAAATAAATGCAGCGGGTAGGCACTTGCCTGGTCCGCAGGCGATCCGGGTTCGATTCCCAGCATCCCATCTGGTCCCCCAGCCCTCCAGGACTGACTCCTGAGTGCAGAGCCAGGACTCAGCCCTGAGCACCGCCGAGTGTGGCCCCTAAGCAAAACAAAAATTACGAAGCCCCAAACAAACACACCAATAAATAAATAAATCTCCCAGTGTCTGTACTTAAAACAAAACATTCCCAAGTAATTTTATCTGGTGATGAAGAAAGCACAACGCAAGTGAGAAAACATCTGGACTTGATAGTATAAATCAAGACTTTGGGGGGCGGGGGAGTGCAGCTAATCCAATGATTAAAGGGGAATTTCTAGCTTTATTTCTGGTTGAATTGCCATGCAACTGCGTATAATGGTGACGTATGTAGAACCTTTTGCTCAGTATTTGGCTTACAATTACAACACATGATCAGGACTACCTCCTGGTCTGGTAGTAGTAGTGGATGGTAGAGTCAGTTTGGGGTAATGGTTTACTTCTCTGGTCATGCTACCTGGGTTTGAATTCTTTTTTTAACTGGTACCTGAAGCTGTGTGTTTGTGTCTGCAGCAAGACCTAATTAACTCTGGTTTCGGTTTGTTTTATTTTTTGATTGTTTTTTGGGGGGGCCATACCCAGCAGTGCTCACAGCTTACTCCTGGCTCTGAGCTCAGAGGAATCACTCCTGGAAGTTCTCTGGGGACCCCACGAAATGTAGGGGTCAAACTGGGTCTGCAGTGTACCAATAAAATGCCTTACCTGCTGTACTATATAGCTCTGGCCCCATGGTTTAATTACTTTGTCTCAGTTTTTCTGTTGGCAAAATAGGGATTATAATAGAATTTTGTGTTGTGAGGATTAGATGAGTAAATCAGGCTTACACTATAGCACCTAATAAATGAATGCTAGCTTGCCATTAAGAGATCTATAATTTTTGGAGAAATCACATTAACAGATAAAACTGTGGTGGGGGGGATGAGACATATCCTAAATTGACTTAAATGTCATGTCAAGAAATTGAAACTTTGTCTCTTAAGTTATGGGTCTAAAACGGATAGATAGCGGTCTACCGATTGCCCTGTGCGTTAGCTCTGTTGAAGGCTTTGTGTATGTATTTCTCAAGTGGAGGAAGGCCATGTGTGTCCATGTGAAAATGCCACCCACAGACAGCTTAAATTTGCTTTTGCTGTGGTGTTTTGCGTTTGGAGCTACACTGTGCCGTGCTTCCTCTTGGCTCTGTGATCAGACATCACTTCTGGCAGTGTATGCAGTGCCAGGGATTGACCCTGGGTTAGCAGCGTGCAGAGTAATTGTCACACCCTCTTTCTTGTCTCCAGCTCCCACTGACACCATCTGGGAGGCTCCTTCTACCTGTTCCTGCTGGTACCAATGAAAGAACCTTATTCCTCATCCATTGAGGAAAAAGTGTCCATGAATTTCCCTACCCCAACAGACATCCAAAAGCAAATGGAGACTGTGCTTGAACTTAGCCAAGAGGCTGAGTAGTGTACGTTCCCTTGCGGGTGATATGAAGAAACACAGGGAGCAACCAATGACAGAACTGAGCTTAGCTTGGTGAGAGAACCACTAGGGTTCGACCCCCAGCATCCCATGTGGTCCCCCGAGCACTTCAAGAGTTATCCTTGAGCTCAGAGCCAGGACTAACCTCTGAGCACTGCCTGTGTGATCTGAACCCAGTTATAGGAAGCAGGAAAAGTATCTTACTAATCATCTTGTCTCTGATTTAAACTTATAAAATAAAGACAAAAAATTTTTGTTTGTTTATGGTTTTGGGTTACACCTGGCTGTGTTCAGGGCTTACTCCTGAGTCTGTGCTCAGGAGTCACTCCTGGCAGTGCTCAAGGGATCATCATTTAAAAAACATTTTTTAAATTAATTTTATTGAATCACCGTGAGATAGTTATAAGCTTTCATGTTTGGGTTAAAATCACACAATGATCAAACACCCATCCCTCCACCAGTGCACACTCCCCACCACCAATACCCCGGGTATAACCCCCCTTTCCCACCCTCCCTCTGCCTCCATGGAAGACATGATTCCCATAATCTCTCTCTACTTTTGGGAATTATGGTTTGCATTACAGACCCTGAGAGGTTATCATGTTTGGTCCTTTATCTACTTTCTGGACACATCTTCAAGGGATTAGAAACTATGATCACTAGCACAAGAAGCTAAGTTGACACACATTTGCATTTTGGGGGAGTTTTGGGTACTCTAGGGAGTGTCAGTCAGAAAAAAAATGAGAATACAGTTATATTTAACAGGAATTTAAAGGTTCTACACATCATTGTGTTTGGCTATTCATTGGTGCTATGTAGGCCAGTCAGGAAATAGGTTTCAACTCTGGCATAAAACCAGAAAAATCAAGGCTGACTTCACTCTCTGGAGAACTCCGTTGAAGTAGAGCTGAAATCAGTGTCCTGTCTTCTTTAGTCTGTCACAAAGGCTTGCTTGCTGGGTGATGCCTTGGTGATGTGGCCCATTAGTAACTGGCGCAGAATAGCTTCCAAGGTGAGCTTGGTCACTGACTACAGTGGAATCCCGAGAAAATGGAACATAGATTAGTTTGCAAAGGAGTGAGAAGTTCCCAGCAAAAGGTGTTCACAGGGACGAGTAAATAAGGAACTAGAAGAGGAGAAGAGGGGGGAGGGGCTGGAGCGATAGCACAGCGGGTAGGGCATTTGCCTTGCACGCGGCCGACCCAGGCTCGAATCCCAGCATCCCATATGGTCGCCTGAGCATCGGCAGGAGCATCTCCGGGTGTGACCCAAAAAGAAAAAAATAAAAGAGGAGATGGGAACCAGAGGGAGAAAGGGGAGCAGGAGGGTAAGCCCCCAGCGCCCCCAGCTGGCCATCCTGCAGATTGCAGAGCCACGTGGGAGGTGGGACATTGGTGGTTCCCCCCACACACAATGCCTTCAAAAACGGAAACATTTTTATCAATCTGGAATGGTTCCTGTGACCATCAGAATGGCCAAGATATTGTGAATATCCAGACTCTATCGTCTTTCCTCTTTAGCTTAATTTTTTTTTATTTAGAAATTCAGCTCAAAAGTATAAAGGACTTATTTTAAATTTAAAATATTTAAAATTAAATTTAAAATACTTAGATGAATTTAAAATATTTAAAATGAATTTATTTAAATATTTTAAATTAATTTAAATATTTTAAGTTCAGCTCAAAAGTATATAGTATCCTGCAAGCAATCGGTCACTTCTTGGCAGTCTGTGGGATTTAGGCAGTCAGTTTGCCAGCGAACAAGGGGCTGGAAAGAATTGGTCTGTTACTGTGCAGCAACGCAGGCATCCTGCAGATGTCGCTCTTCTCCCGCAGATGGTCACCCTCTCAGCCCTGGCCTGGATGCTCTCACGGGGTTAAGACTGAATGCTTGGAACCTTTGTTTTAAATGCTGTGAAAAACATATTCTTTATATCTGAGCTGAACTTCCGATATGGATATGA